CCTCACAAATGCGCTTCTGGAAGAATGGTCAAAAATTCCCATAAACACACTCCTAAACCTTGTGGACAGCCCTTCCCAGAAGAAGTATTCTTCTGTTATAACTGCAAAGGGTGGACCAACGTCATATTGAACCCTATGGATTAGGAATGGGATGTCACGTACAGTAAGGTCATATGCGAGTAAAGACAGGTGAGCGAATACTTTTGGCAATATAGTGTATATGCTGTTATACTGGGATACTGCCTTCCCAAAATTATTCAGTCCAGTCACCTGAAGAAGGTCTGTCGAGAAGTGCTTAGAACTTGAGTTAGATCAGTGGTCGCCAATCTTTCTGGCTTGACAGACAGGCAAAGGCAGCTCAGGGAAAGGAATGGTTTTGTGTGGATGCGCCATTTTCATAAATGCAGCTTTGTGCGCACACATGCACTTACCCACCACTTCTGCAGCCCAGTAGTGAATGAGCTGTGGGCTAGGATCGGGCCACAGACCACAGTTAAATGACAAGCCTTCTGTGTAGTGACCACTTAAACTAGAATCTGCTTTCCTGGAGAAATATGCAACACTCTTTCTTCCTTAATATTTCTTAAGTCAATGAAAAATTTGGAAATCATAAAAATCAATGAAATCATATTTGGTCATAGATGACTTAATATAGCCATTCCATCTTTGCATATTTTGTCTTTAACTTTTAATATCTTCTGTTCTTATACATCTTTTTTGTACTCTGCCCAGAGTCTTAGAATGGGGATAGTCTATGATTATTGAAAATAAAGAAATCCATAGCTTTTGGGTTGTTTATCCTATACAATAATTCAAAACCATACAAAATCTCACAATAAAAACAAAAGAATCTGTTGTAACATCATATGCAATGAATCATTTCCCAGATAATCATCAGCTAATTCAACCACAGCATAATAAAACGATTCCTGGAAGGCTCTGTGGAAAAATAGTGTTTTAACTCTTTCCTGAATATTAATGTTCTGTATTTGAGCTTTGATTGCTTCAATTTTATTATATATTTGGTATTAATACTAGTTCTGCCTTCAGCGACTCAGATCCAGAGAATTATAGAAATAGATAGTAGTTTTCTCCCTTCTTCTAGTGGTAGGTGTTTAGTTTCCTAGACCGTCAGAAATCAAAGCTTCTATTCAAGGAATCTTTGAACAAGTATTCCTTTTTTAAGTTATCTATGGCAAACTACGCTAGTTCAAGGGGACCCCCAGAGTAATATGGGGTCCTTCTTAAGGGGAAGAGGATACCTTTAATTATCTTCCACTGGTGTGTTTCATAGTAAAATTGTATGTAAGGCCATCTTCAAGTTGAACTCAACTTCTGATGATTTCATGGATAAATCCATATAATTTTCTTGGCAAAGTACAACAATATCTTGCATCTTCCAAAATGTTTTTCAAATTGCTACCTTTGGGATTTCCTGGTCCTAGTACAATTGATTCAGTGGTGGGTTCCAGGAGGTACGCCCCAGTACAGGCGTACCGGAGCCTGCCCGGAGCACCGGATACCTTTCCGGTACACTGCTCCGTAGTGCCTGCCCGCCCGCGCTCCTTACCTATCTTTAAAGTCTTCGATGTTTATGTGCACAGTGCGTACAGCGCCTGCATGACGCTCTGCCGAGCAGCTGGAGCACCGTGGAGGCTCGCAGAGGTGTTGCTGGATGGTAAGATGCATGCGCGCACTGCGCATGTGTGTGCACACACTGCGCACGTCCATGTGGACAACACCGGGCCTGTTCCATCCGTACCGGTTGGAACGAGATCCAGAACGCACCATTGAATTGATTACAGACAATTCAGCTGGAATTGAGCCTTTTGACAGATTCTACTCCAATATATGTATGATGCCTATTGTACAGTTCCTTTTCATGTCAATCCAAGTTATGTAAAACATATTTGCAAAGCAAATTTGATCATAAGAATCAGTTTGGTCTAGTGATTAAGGCACCAGGCTAGAAACCAAGAGACTGAGTTGAGTTTGTGAGTGTGAGTCACTTTCTCTGAGTCCAACTCACTTCAGAGGGTTATTGTTGTAGGGAAAAAGGGAGAAGGTAGAAGTATTGTGTGTGTTCACTGCCTTAAGTTATTTAGAAAAATAACAAAGTTGGAAAATAAATAAATATTTTTGACATCAAAATCTGTAGTTATTTCTGTGATGTAAAATAGCTGTGCCCAGTGGTGAAATTCTTTTTTTTTTTACTACCGGTTCTGTGGGCGTGGCTTGGTGGGCGTGGCAGGGGAAGGATACTGCAAGATCCCCATTCCCACCCCATTCCCACCCCTTTTCTTTGCGCATGTGCGGGTTTGGAATGGCGGCCGGGCTTTTTCGCTCTCTGTAATCTGGCGAAAAAGTACCGAGTAGCCTTCCAAACGGTCTGCAAAGTCTCCAGAAAGAGCCTCTGGGTGAGTTTAAGACCTCCAGAATTGAAGGACCGGACGGAATTTCAGAAAAAACATCGCTCCCGAAGGCTTATTTCAGCNACACACACACACACACACACACACACACACACAAATACACAAAGATATATACATACACATTTGGTAGTACCCAAGAATGTTTCTTAAGTAATTCAGAATACAGTAATAACATGGCCACCAAATAGTCACTTAGAGCTCTCCTGTCTAGCTGTGTTATCAGGAAAAATATTCACAACCTGTCAAACTCAATTTCATTGAGGGCCACATCAGGATTGTGTTTGACCTGGGGGGGGCGGAGGGCTGGGGCATGGCTGGGTGTGTGTGGTCAGCTCAACGTCATTCATGTTGGGGTGCCTGTAGTGGCCCGAGCACTCTGCTAGTGAAAACAGGCTCCCAAGTTCTGTTTTTGGCTGCAACACCCTCCTGCAACCCTCTGCCAGTGAAAATAGCAGAGGGTTGCAGGAGGCTGTCACAGCCAAAAATGGAGCTCGGGAGCCCATTTTTGCTGGCAGAGGCACTGTGGGCCGGTCCTTCCTGTTTCCAGGAAGACCCTGTGGGCTAAGTCTAAGCACCTCACAGGCCAAATCCGCCCCCTGAGCCTTTAGTTTGACACCTCTGCCCTAAAGCATAATGTTTACGGAGTGGGGGAGGGAAAGAGTGGTTCAGGATGGAAAGATTCTCTAAGGTTCATGTGGGGTTTTAGCTGAAACATCACAGACTTAGAGAAGCTGCATATTGTGGAAAACATAGCAGCGCAGGTAGTTTCATGTGCTTTTAGATCAGCACATTACACCTCTGCTTTGTGAGGTACATTAGTTGCCAGTTTGCATTCAGATTCAATTAAAGGTGCTGGGAATGAGCAATGATTCGGTAAATGGCGTTGGGCTGGGTTATTTGTGGGACCATCTAACCCTTGTTACATATATCTGTTCAAACAGGTACAGCAGAAGAAGCAGAGAATGGGTCATGCCCTAATCTCACTGGCCTAGAAGGCTCTGAAGACCTGACTTTGATACATGCATGGGCATCTGGTAGAGATATGGAACCTGCAAAATGATAGCATTATTTGTAATACACGGACTATGCTGTCCTGCATTTTACACGTCATGGTTTTAGTTATTTAATTTGTTTGAAAGATTTTTTTCCCTTTTGTTGTGCATCACTTTTTGTTTTAACTGAGCCAGTTCAACAGTTCAACAGAGCCATGTATTTGACATGGGGAGCTACATAAGTTGAATAAACAAACAAAAAAATAAATATATGTCTAATAACTTGTACCATCAAAAATTGATGTAAATTACACTCTTTTGAGGTATAAGGGCATTTATATTTGCTCTTCACTTCCTGGCCTTGTTTTAAATAGACATCAGCCTTGTTTTCTAATTTAAGAAAAAAACCCTCAAAACCTAAAATTTTAAGTTCAGAGCTTTACTAAAACTATTGCTTGATTTTCAGGTGACTTCTTTCTTGCCTCTTACTCTTGCCTCTACTCATTGTAAGAAATCTCCCCTTGTCAATATTTGGAACATCAACAGTTCTGCAAGTTTTTATTTTTATTTTACATTTACATTTTATTTTATTTTCTACGAGTTTTTATTTTTATTTTACATAAGGAAACTTCTTTTGCTCTTGGATTATATTCTTCCTTGTGAAAATTACAAATACAAGTGTTTTCATTAGAGAACCATTACTTTTCAGATATACTGCATTGCAACTGTTGAAAATTATTTTTGCTTACCTCCAAGTGCAATTATATTCAGGGGAGTTTTTGTCACCACTGTCATGCTGGAAAAAAAGAGAAACATCGCAAGTGTACAGTGGAAGAAACTACTTTTAATCGTGTGCGATTAGAATTAAGTCTTCAGGTGAATTATCGAAACAATCTAAATTCGATCACAGCACCGAAAGGCACAAGTTCTCCCTGGTTGATGCGAACTGCTGAATGATTCCAAAGCAGACAATTTGCCTGCTTCCTTTCTCAATATTCATGGATGCTTTTTTCAAGTAACTAGGCTGACTGAAACCTTCTTCAAAAAAATGCTCATTCTTCTGAAAGAATGTAATTTCCATTTCTTTTCTGAACTTATTCTGCTGGAACAGCTGAGCCTCTTGGGCTGAGCTGGGAAAAATGCCCATTGCAGTTATCTATAAAACCTCTCCCAGGGCTCCTTGTAGCTCCTTTAAACATTATTAAAGGATGGCTCTATCAGGAACGCCGTGCTCCATTATTAATTGAAGTGCCCGGCCTTCTCCCAGGCTGTTATTGTGCTAAACCTCATGTCACGCTTATTTATTTAGTTGATCCTGTTCTGTTGTCTTGTGTATTGACAAATGCTCATGGAGAAAAGAGAATGATCCAGCCAGAATTTGTGGGATGGGATTCTACTTTCTGTTCATATAATATAACAAGATGTGGCATTCCCTTCTCTGTTCCTGCCTTAAACACCCCTTTAAGTGAGATGTTTAGGCTGAAAAGATTCATGAATCTCAACCAAGACTTACCCTGTCACATGTGGTAGAAAGGGAAGGGAAATCAATGTTTAAAAACAGAAGTGCAATCGGCAAAATAAGATTGAAAGCTTGCCTTCAGAGGCCCGAATTCCTTGTAATTCATCTATTGGAACCAGAATATTGCAACCCAACTACCACAGACCAAAGAAAATGGGCTGTGCACCTTTCTCCTCTGCTCATTGCTGGTTTTATAAGAGACTACTTTGGCCTGCAGTTTTCCAAGGATCCCCTAGTCTTATTTTTCCCAAGGAGTAAAGAAAAAATAGTGATTTCTACATCACAGAGAACAACTATATCAGGGATGTCAAACTTGTCTTCATTGAGGGCCGCATAAGGGTTGTATTTGATCTTAGTGGACCAGGGGGAACATGGCTGGGATGGGCCTGGCCAGGGTGGTCCAGGCCAGCTCAATGACACTTGAGGCTTCATTTTCAGCCACGATGGCCTCCTGCAACCCTCCCAGGGAGGCCGTGTGCAGCCTCCCCAAGCTCTGTTTTCGCTGGCAGAGGGCTGCAGGCTGTTGTGGCCAAAAACAGAGCCTGGGAGGGCTGTGCTCAGGCCTCCAGCTCCATTTTCACTGGCAAATGCACCATGGGCTGGTCCTTCGCTGTTTCCAAGGCAGCCCCACGGCCCCCAGCCCTTGTTCAGAGACAGATAACAAAGTCATTAGAGAGCACAGAGGTCAAACTCCCTGTGTCACATTACTGTCATGTGATGTTTTCTCCCTTCATGGAAGTGGGGTGGGCATGGTCGGCATGTGATGCATCCGGCCATGGGCCACCAGTTTGACACCCCTGATATAGAGCCTCCACCCAGTTACCCATGTCTTGCTTCTTTTCTTCTTCCCAGCAGTCTTACATATCCCTGATGCGGGGGGAAATCCAACCACTTATTGGAATGATAACAACTGTAATATTTACTGTTTCTAATACAAATTAGTACTTGCAGTCAGGCTGAGATATTTTCCTGCTTGGCAAAGCAAACATCTTTATATGCACACATACAACCCCAAAGTCCACAAGAAATACCCTCCTTTCTGTCAACCTTCATCAACAAGGTTCAGAATTAATCAAGAGAGCTCGGAGAAAGGTCTAATTTTGATTAAGCATTCGTTCATACATAACAAATACATATGAAGACATTGACTTCTCCTCCTGTACTTGCTAGGTCACTTGAAACATTACTGTGAAGAAACATTATTGCAAAGCTTCTTCTTTGGTAACATTGTATTGTGCATACAAAACCTTTGCAAGACCAATTCTCAAATACATCTCTTGTGTCTGGAGCCCACACTGTATAACACGATTGAGCCAGAGATATTTCATGAGAAGAGTCCTCCACTCCTCTGCTCACAATAGAATCCCTTATGCCACCAGGCTCGCAATTTTGAACTTGGACAATCTGGAACTACGCCGCCTGTGGTTGGACATAAGCAAAGTACACAAAATTGCCTCTACAATGTCCTACCTGTAAACGACTGCTTCAGCTTCAACCACAATAATACACAGGCAAAAGTTTCATACAAACTCAAGGTGAACCGCTCCAAACTCGATTGCAGAAAATACAACTTCAGCAACAGAGTGGTCACCACCTGGAATGCTCTACCTGACTCCGTTGTTA